GGGCTTGGGGCCTGCCGCGGGCTTGGGGCCTGCCGCGGGCTTGGGGCCTGCCACAGCCACCCCAGCTGCGCAGGGAAGCACCCACGCGGGTCTCTGTTTCTCTTGGGCATGCACCAGCCAAACCTCCGAGCCCAGGCTCTCGGGGTAACCTGGAAGAAGTTACAAATCCAGCGTCAAGGTGAACACCCAAAAGCTGAGAGACGTGTGACGAGCCAGCAGCCGCACGACCCAACCGATCAACCAGCAAAAAAACCCCCAAACCCAACACAAGCCAGGGACGTACCTGATAAGCTTTTTCAAATGTATGTGACTGAGAGTGTTTCAGGCGGGGAGGGTGGCAAAATCCTTGCTATGCTAAATCTGGAAGCAATGTGAGAAGCTCAGGTTAGAGATGAGAATGATCACAAGCAGCAACAGTTTTTGGCACAGTGGTTTCCATCCAGATCGGGTCTAGGGGGTGCGGGATTGCTCTGTAATCGGGATTAACCTTTTTCACCACGTTACTGTGGAAAACGAGGCCTACGGGGCTGAGCACGCGGCGCGTCCGTGCTGCGAGGCTGGAGCACGCTGGGCACGGCGCTACAGACCCCAGCGCTGCGAGGAGACGACGTTAATTCCAGGGCCGGGAGGACGCTGCCTTCCGTGCCCGCCATCTTCAGCTCCTTTGGTGTGGAAAGCCGTGACATGGTACTTACTGGGGCTGGCAGCGGCGAGAAGACGTTCGTTTTCATGGACATAAACAGGACACTCAACAGCTAGTATCTTTACTGAATGAATTTATTGGTTTTTGAACTAAAGTTGCTCACAGTTATTTAACAAGGGATACATCAGATTTTTTTGTCCATTTTAAACCATTAAATAATGTCAGTTTGTGTCTGTATATGTGTGTGTGCGCGCGTGTGTGTCTTCAAAGTACAAAATAGGAAGGATAACAAGAGGTATTGCTTTCATTTATTCTTATATCTTGTGTAAGTAATCCCCTTCCTGCTTGTACCACATGGGTTTTGCTGATATAGGTATTTTTAAATTATTATTATTTTGTATTGAAATCCCAGCCTTTTGTAGAGGTACAATGTAACAGAAGCATCAAAATCTATACACAAGGGAAGAGAAAAGAGGGAAAAGAAGGACAGGGGTGATGGGAGGGGAGCTCGGAGGAGAAGTAGAGAGAGGGCGGAGGCAGGAAAGACAACGAAAGCAAAAGAGACTAATTTACAGCAATGTCATGCAATTAAAACTGCCCCCCTCTCCTGCACCCTTGCCTCCCCCCCTCCCCAACCATCACCCCCTGGTGTCTGACATGCACACAGCAATACGAGAGAGAAAAGCTTAAGAATAGGGAAAATAAATAAATAAATAAAACGAAAAAATAAAACAAATCCCTCCCATTTGGGGGAATGGGGAAACAGGGCAAAAGTCAAAGGTCTTTGCCCCAGTTGTGTCTTTAAAAATTCTTTTTAATCTTCAAACCTATGTACAAGTAAAACTGGTCCAAGAAGGGGAAAAATGATTAAAAAAAACAACAACGACAACAACAACAAAAAAGAACTCATCCAACATTATCATTAAAAAAAAAAAAATCTTGCGATACAACATACACCCATAGGAACCCAACGAGCAGCAATCGAAGGTCATAAAAGAGCTGAACACTAATGCTAAGCCTACATTCTTAAAATCTCAGTCAAGAAGTACTTCTCACTGTGTTTTGTCTTCCACGCATAAAACCACGGTTGTTTTGTTTGTTTAACCTTTGAGCTTGGGCCAGAATAAGTTACACTTGGTCACATAACTCTTGAGGAGGAGGAAAAAAGGCAGCGATTCTTCTTTCTCAAAGTCACAAGATGAACACTTATGGGGTTTCTGTGTCTTTTTTCCCCCTCCTCCCCCAAATAAATAAGAATCAATGTTGCCTCTACACAGTTATTAAACAGAAGATATATCTAACAGCTTATTTTTTAAATATATATATGTATATATAAATAACCAAGACCTAATAACTGAAACACAAAAAAAAAAAGGTCCCCATCCACCCAATCCCACCCTCCTCCCCTTCAAAAAAACAAAACGAAACAAAACAAAAACTTTATAAAAATATCTTGCAGTAATTTTTAAAGTTTACAGTAGCTTTGTGATTAAGTCTCCCATTGCCCTGACTCCACCTTGTCTTGCTCTGATGAACTAAGTGCCAGTGATTTGCACACACACACACAGAGGAAATAAAACCCAAGAAAAGCATCTTTTCTTCCTCCTCTTCATCTTCTTTTTTTTTTCTCTTTTTTTTCTTTTTTTTTTTTTTTTTTTTTAGAAAAAAAATCACCCAAGCCAACAAATGAAACTGGTAACGTAAAGAAATAATAATACTGATATCAATGCAGCACTAGCAACACAACAATTGCCTCTAAATGCAGGGTGTGGTGGAGGATCCAGCTGGTCGAAGAAGGTCCCAGCGCGGTGGCACAGTGGCAGGGAGTTGACAGGTGGGGAAGAAGGTGTCGAAGGAGGAGCAGCAGTAGCAGCAGCGGCAACTGTGCCTGGTGGCGGGAGAGACAGTCCTTGGCAGAGTCTTGTCCCTCTTCTTTGCTACCAGAAGTTGCCTTTTCCCTAAGTTTTAATGTTTTGTTTGTATGTGTTTATTCACTGAACCCCCTCTCCCTCCTAAGTTTACTCCTTTCCCCTTCCAGCAGGTCAAAAAGCAAAATGATACGGTATAAAAAAAAACCAATCGTTTTGTATATATATGTATGTATGTATGTATATTTATATAAAAATATACACACCTATATACATGTATATAGAAAAAAGGGGGCAAAAGAAAAGGAAAAGGTGGTGGGGAGAAAAAGAAGGTTAAGAAAAATCCCGTGATGAAGCTCCCCAATATTGTCTTGGTTCAATGCTTAGTTTTGAGTTGCTCCTGGCTGGTTTCTGATGAGAACGCGCTCTGGATTCATGAAACACTGCGCTCCCGCTATGCCCATCTCCTTCCCCGCACCCTCCCCCTCCGGGCTGAGTTCACCTGCGCGGACAGAAGTTGCCAAGGGTAAAGGTTTCACTCCAACAATTTGCAACCTCCTTTCAGCCCAGACTCTGCAATCCCATAACTGAGCAGATCTCTCTTGTGGAGCACCAAAAAAGAAAAAGAGAGGGGGGAAAAAAAAAGGCGTGCACTGGGGAGGTGTTTGGGGAGAAGTGGGGGAGAAACCCACTTCCTGAAGGGAGAGGGGAGGCTGGGAACCTCAAACAGGACTGGTCCTTGGACAGTCTACATCGGTTGCCTTCCGTCAACAAGTGTCCGCAGAGCACAGAAGGTGAAGCCGTGGCTGACATGTTAACTTTTCGGGATAATTCCTGGTAGCAGAGCGGAAACAAGTGGTGTCGTCAGAAACACAGAGAGAGCATGAACAGAACAAGAAACAAAACGAAAGAAAACAAAAAAGAATAATAATAATAATAAAAAACCCAAAAAATCAGGAAGGAGAAAAAAAGCAAAACATTCAAAAAAAGGGAGGAAAAAAAAACCAATCGAAAAAACCACAACCCAAGATCTGGTGAACTGGGTTTGTCATCTGTGCTACCTTTTCTTTTCTTTCTTTTCTTTTCATTCTTTCATTCGTTTGTTTTTGTGTTTGTTTCTGAGATATATATTATATATCATATATAAATATATATATGTATATATATACAGTCATTCCTTCATACAAAATTTGTCTATAGACAGTTTTGTACTGTTGTGGCAAGGTATATACATCCTTCTAGTTTAGAGGCTAGCTTGCTAAGGAATATTCTTTCATTCTTTCTTGCTTTTTTTGTTTTTGTTTTTTTGATTTTTTTCTAAGTTATTTAATTTTTTATGTGTTTATTTAAGGTTGGTCTTGTAGGCCGACTGATGAGACCATCTTTGCCTTGTCTTTGCCAGCAGGGTACTTATTGTCTCCTCTAGACCCATAGTCATTAGAACCGGAATCGCTCCGCTTGCTGTTTGCGCTATGCTTGGTTGGCGTGCCGGGGGGATGGCTCACCTGCCCGTTCTTCTCGTCTGAAAAAAGTTGTTTAATTACGTCAAAGAAGTTACTCAATGGGCTGCCTGGGTACACAAAACAGAGGAGACAAAAAAAGAAAGAAAGAAAGAAAGAAAAAAAAAAAAAAAACAAACAAATGAACAATGGGGTTTTTAACGAGAAGAACATGATGAGGAGATCCAGAGCCACGTGCGTGGGGGTGTGTGGGGGATGAAGACAATGAGCAGGAAGAGGAAGAGTGTTTAGGATGGGACACCTACAGAAATAAAGAGGCTGGGAGCATAAAGCACCTAGGGGGAAGGTCCTTGTTTTCTCCCGAGTGGGAGAGCACTGTTGTCTCACCTAGCAGGAGGACACCGTACCGTGTGGCTGAAATAGTTCAGTCTAGTACTTGGAGTCGCTTGGCCACTCCGCACTGAAACATCAGGGAATGTAATGCTGGATACAGGCAAACCCCATCTTACTGCTGCTGTTACAAACAGGGGCTATTTGTACGTGGTCACCAATTGATGCTTTCTTTGCTTTGCAGCCTGGCTAAGCTCTCTGGCTACACCAGGCATTAGGCTTTCTTTGCTCGCATTTTATTTCTTTCTGAGTATCTCCTTGCTTACTTTTCAGTCACTAAGCCCAAAGCCCCTGAGTGCTCCAAGGGAAACAGCATTTGAAAAAATGAGCTACAGTGGACACAAGTGGTTTGTGGCTTGTACTTGTGTAAGCTTCTAAGCACCCACAGATCCTTCTTACAACAGGTACCTGGACCTGTGCATTGTGGAAGCAGGCTGTTACGCATCTAACTATTTCTGGGACCTATCAGGGGCAAGAACTACTTCCTCATAGTCCTGAATTTATGTTCTCTCTACAACACAGCCTCCATGACACTGACATTCAATCCGGTGGAACGAGGAGACAGAGAGGAGTGTAGGATTGTGTGCTAGGTATCTCATTAGAGCAGGTTGCAGTATCAACGTGGGTTGGGCACTGTGCACAGGAATACAAGCTTTCGTGCCGTTTGGACCCCCAAGCAGGAGGGTTGTATGCTGTTAATATAGTCCTGTGTCAGAGGATGTGTGGAAGGCCGTACCTGAGGAAAGGCTCTGGGCTGCTACTGAGGGAAAGGGACCAGCTACTGCTGGAAAGGTAGTTGTCTTGGGGTGTTTCTAGTCCCTGTTAATTTTCTTGGATTGGTGGATTAATCCTGATCAGACATAGGAGTGGTCACACTAAATTCTCTGAACATGGGTATTGGAGGTGTTTTTTATCTAGCATACACCATGCAGGTGATACCTGTTTGTGATCATTAGAACCCCACGATGCTTTTCTCAATATTGGGACTGTTGGCTCCATTGTTCTAACAAATTCAATTAATTTATATCCCACCTAAGTAATTTTATTTACCGGCTCCCAGAAGGAACAAGTTCCTTGTTTCTGCCTTCCAATGCTGTGGTATGCTGTGAAGAGTGGAACTTTTCTTCCCCAAGATGGGAACATTCAGTTGGGAGGAAAGGAGTTTCTTCCTAGCAGAGATTGCCATTTATCCACAGCTGGTGGACACTGGTGGCTTGGTAACATTACATTTCCCTTTGCTTTCATTACAAACATAAGCAAACCAGTTACTCCAGCAGGCAAGTACTTTCTGTGCATGGTAACTTGTCTGAAGAGCTTGTTGGGTGCTTTCTTATTCTCTAATGGAAAATGCTAGACAGACATCAACTGCTCTTACACGAAGAAAGAGGAAATACATAGTATCTGTGCCCTGCAAAGTGGAATGTTACTCTTTTTTTTTTTTTCCTGCCCTGTGCTAACCAGGTAGTTGCTGCTTTCTTCTGCATGTTAACAGGCATTGAGAAAAATCAAATGGCTGGCAGATACAGTGAAGGATCTCAACCTTATTAATCTAATTCATGCCTTGTCTTCCTTTACCTGCTGCTTTGTGGTTAACTTACTGCTGGCCCTGGTTCTGTCTGTGCATTCAGTCACAGCAATGCCACAAGCAAATGGCTGTGAGTTTCTGGAAGGGCGTTATTCACCTGAAGCCTTAGAGATGGGCCCAAACAAACAGCCAGGCAAAGCACATATCTCAATTTCTGGCTAAGAAGAGAAGGACTATCAAACTCCCAGTCATTTTGGGATCAGACCTCCGTGAGCTCCACCTGCTTCCTTCCACATGCATGCAAATGCTTTGGAAGGGGGGGTATCTGTTCCACATCTATGATTTCTATTTCAGAGATTTCCCTAAGCCTCCCTAAATCTGTTTTAGGTTTGTGGGTGCATGATCTGCTCAGACTCATTTCTACTTCTTTTAGTTGGATACTCTTCTTCAATGAAAAGAAAGAAAAAAAAGAAAGCAAACACTCAGCCTTGAATGCAGGAATGTGGGCGGATCTGGTTCTTATGTGGCTTTGGACCCCTCATCTTCATAAGCAAATGGAGTCAGCAGAGAGAATGAAAAAGAGCACTGAAAAAAATGCTGGAGAGGGAAAGACTGCTAGGTTGGGAGAAAAGGGGAGGGGGATATCTCTAGTTATTCAGCTGAGCAGTTTATTCAACAAGCTTACAGGGAAAGAAGAGGGCAGAGTAAGCAGGGCTCTGCAGGAATCGGGGAAGTTTTTTGTTTTCACGTAGACAGGAACAGTAGACAAAAGTACAACTTTCAAGAATGGAGCAATAAAACATTTTTAAAAATATATTTATATATCTTGTATTTACTGAGTCCTGATACAGGATTTTTAATCGTCCTGTTAAAATATGCAGCCCCTGTTTCATCCACCCTTTCTCCTCCCCATGCCCTACTGGCTTTCAAGTGCCTGGAGATTTATTGCAGCAAAAGTATTTAACAGTCTGCTTTTCTTTGCCCTTATCACTACTGGATTCCTTACAATAAGCATTTTCAGGTAAAGTTTTAATGGGAGGTAAGAAATCCTTAGGGATGTTTAAAGAGAGCTACTGAAAAATAAAATAGGCCATTTCACTAACCCTTTCCTTCCTTTGCCTTTTGTGGTATCTGGACTTGTAATGAAATACTAGGTGGTAATGCTCTCCTATCCTGCAGTCAAGAAAGAACTGAACCTACACCAAGCTGCATTGATGTTGTCTGCCTGACAGCTTGTTAGCCCACTCTTGGGCTGGTCTAGATATTGGTCTTTGGATAGACGGAGTCTCCTCACATTTTTCTCTGGACATGGGTCAGCTAGGCTGGAAGCATGAAAGTGGTGCACGGTGTTGCTCCTCTTAGTTCTCAGTTCCTTTGGGGCTTACACATCCAGTAAAGTAAGACTTGAAAATGCAGACGATGATGGATTAGAAAAGCTTTTTCAGCAATCTTCCACTCCTAGCATTCAATGCAAAAAGTGTGATAGGCTCTTACACCTGCAAGTCTATCTGGGGGCCTCAAAAAGCCCACCTCTCATTTCAGAAAGTGAGATGACATCCCATTTCCTCTGGACAGGGATGAAGGTTTGGCTCACTGATTCTTCACTTCCCTAGTGTTTCATGTATCTGTAACTACGGTCTTCTTTCCCCTTGAGAGCAAATGTTCATCAACACAGAGCAGAGAAGGTGTGAAGGGTAGCAAGGGTGAGAAATCGTGAGAAGGATCAGAGGCAGGAGGGGAGGTTCAAAGCATTAGCTTTACATCTGTTAGGAGGAGATGGATATGTGCATTATTGAGTTAGGCCAAGGAGCTGTATGCTGCAAGATGGGAAAGGGGAATGCGTTTGAAAACAAGCACTGAAGCTTATGAAAGGGTCATGTATTGAAGGGATGCTAGAGGAATATATTTATGGAGAAGGCACTAGTTTGTGGCACCTGTGTGCAGCACTGCCACAGCCAAGTATCACGAAAGAAGTTAAAACTGTGAATGCATTTGAATACAGCAGGCACTAAAAGGAAGAAACAGGGCTGGAGATGGACACAAAAATGTAAAAGGAAGCTGGGCAGGTGGCTTCCATCAATCCTCACAGTCCTCAGTATTTCATCTGCTGTTCTTAGGAAGTCTTTTTGACATTGCCCTAGCCCCAGTGGTGTCACAGGTTTGAGTAGCAAAGTGGAAGTGGAACACCCAGGTAAGAGAGGAAAGAGAAAATGAGGTGATTCACTTCAAGCACCACAAATGACACCAGGAAAAGATGCACCTTGCAAAGACCCTGCTCTGACCTTGCAAAAACTCTGCCCTGATCTTGCAAAGACCCTCAGAGTCCTCCACGGAAAATAACAGGAGGTGGTGAACAAGCAGCTTCAGGACAAGACTGGAGGTTTCAGTCACCGATTAGAGCCTGCTGTTTTGTAACATTTTAAGACAGTCAGATAAGGACTTGGTCCTGTTTTCATTGAAGTGAATAGCAACATTCCCATTGATTTAATGGAAGCAAATCCTGAGGCACTTCCTTCTCCTGTGAAACCATCTCTCAAGTGTATGTGTATTTAATGCACTAATCCTTGTGGTGCTGAACGCAAAGTTGCACAAAACAAATATGCCATCTGTGGGATTATCCTCTGCCTTTCTGTATAGCCTGAGAAATTTTGAGCTTCTGCATTTTTAGCTTAGGCTTTTGGAGAAAGTGAATGGAAAAAGATAGGTCTCCATTGGAAACAGAGACACCCTTTGTCAGCCTGACTTCCCATATTCCTTCCCTTGTTGCTTTCACATACTTTCTGCCTGCCTTCTGCCTGCCTCTGCTACTGAGGTTTTCTTCCTATAGTCATTCCTCCCTTTTTAACCCCTTGTCTTCTTCATCCCTAGCTTGCTCTGTATTTTGACAGCAGCTGTGGTGGTTTCAGTGAATCCTGTAGTAAAAATCCAACTCCTTTCACATAAAGCATTGAAAAACTCTCTTGATGGGTGTTAATACATTCCCTTTCAAATCCATTTCGTGACTTTGGTGGTTCTAGCCTTCTTTGTTAAGACTAGGCAATTTTTGCCTGCTTGCTTGGTTTCTGTTGGCAGAGTCCCTTCTGCCTTCAAAAACAGAAGACTTAAAATATAGAACCCACTCCAAAAGTATATGCAGTGAAAGGGATG